CGTGCACGAGCAGCTGGATAGAAAACGTGTAATTTACGCAGCTCATTTACGCACGTTTCCTGAAGATAGAAGAGTTTGTTGAATCTGACATGGCATGTTCGTACGAACCCTTTGTACAAACAAAAGTAAGAGAAATTTAGGAGAAGAATACGAACATGTTCTTGCATGAGGCCCAATGACTTTCTACTTCTTACCTTTTAAGGAAATGTAGTGAGTAGAAAGTACAGATAATTGTATAAAAATGTAATGAGTAGAAGTAAAAAGTAGGCTGAAAAAATTTACTCAAGTAAAGTACAGATGGCCAAAATTTCTACTCAAGTACAGTAACAAAGTATTTGTACTTAGTTACTTTACAACTCTGTACACAGGCTTGGGCCCCGGTCACGACTGCTTAGCAGTTCTAGTTCTTATTGTTTACTAATGTAGAGGACTTGAGGGATTAATCATCATAATCCTTCGCACAGCATTCACAAAGTTCTGACCAATCAGAGCTGCAGAGGTCTGTGAGACAGAGCTCTGACTGGGACTGCTGTACAAGACAGGAAGTTACACAATGTTTTGTCATACAAGATTGTGAGAAAGCACAAATCAACCGTTACTCAGACGGCCCTCTGTTGGCAGGTTTGGTGGAATCAGCTTTATATAAAAACTGTATTAATGGTGCTCTATGGCATGCTCAAGGTTTCATTTGTTTCAAAACCAGCTCTTGATCTCTTCTCCTCCACAACTTTGTCTCTGACCGGTGTGCTTCATGCTGTTTGATGATTGATTGAGCTTCTCAGTGATCACCACAGGGATTAAAAAGTGCCTGTACCACCATGTGATCCCTCCTTCTTCCCATTTTTAAATGATGTTTTTAACAAAACTCCGTAAGAAATTAATAATTTAGGATATTGTTTTATAACCAGACCACTTAAAACATGTTATCCCTGACCTGTCTCATGTGGTCCTTGGTTTAACACCCCCCCAGGTTGTTTTAATACCAGCAAGTGTGGACACACATAGACACATAGTTGGTGTTGAAATTAACACTGTGGGTGTTAAACTAACACTGCAGTGTTGGTCTGTCTCAGAAATCACAGTGTGCTGCTGTAACATGAAAAATACGGTTTAAAAATCAAAAAACCTTTTTCAACACAGTAGATACGGTTCATTGACCATTTGTTCATCTGCTGATGAAAAACAAGCAAGCTAACCTTACATGTCTTCATGGTGTGTAACTTCTGTGCTTCAGAAACACACTCTGCATGTGTGTTCCTGTGTGTGTGTCTGTTTCACTTCTTCATTCTAAATGAACACTGATCCAATTTCACAACAGTGACAAACTGAAGTGACATGAAATCAGACACAGATGCAGGAGGAAGGTTGGGAGGAATCATAGACCACTACCTCTGAATTAAAAATGACTCTGCTGTGAAAAAAATTAAATGTCCATAAAGCAGTGAGAAAAATGATTTTTATTTATAAATATATGAACAACAGTTTTCAGCCTAAACAGTAACGATCAGGAAACAACCATCATCCCACTTAGTTACAGCTAAATGCATTTCATGTTCAAGTTTTCAGTTATTTTTGCAGAAACTGAAAAGAATCAGAGGAGATGAAGTAAAAAGGAAAGTAATTTTTCGTTACCTTGTAGATACTTTGTGTTTCACCTGTGTGCAGCTGTCACAGCAGAATGAAAGAGTTAATGTTAGACACACTGTGCACCAGTGAACCTGGGTATTTCTGAGGCCTTTCTAACTCTACACACGTGTTTAATAACATACAGGATAAAGCACAGAGGCTCTCAGAGCTTTAAAGACTTTCATTCATTAAACTGTCGCTGTCAGTGTGCTCACTCCCCTTTCATCATGGAAGTTAAAACGAAAAAAGCAATATTAAAGACATTAAACTGTCCTATTTATACAACGCTTTGTGCAATAAATACATTTCAATTAACTTAAACACTTAATATTTTTCTTATTAAAAATTGCTGAATTTCCTCATATCCTGTTCAAATATAGGACGAGGTGGACTATGAGGAAAAATCAAGCTCCGCCTCCAGATTGCGCAATCGTTTCAACCATGCTCTGTCTCCTCTTGGATTGTGCAATCCCTCCTGCATGTTATGTAGTGACAGCAGAATATGGTAAAAATGTAAATGGTCTGTACTTATATAACACCTTTCTATCCATCCAGGACACTCAAAGCTCTTCACACATGCACACACACACACACACACACACACATTCACCCACTGATGATGGCAAACTACACTGTAACCACAGCTGTCCTGGGGCACACTGACAGAGGTGGGGCTGCCATACATCGGCGCCACCGGACCCTCTGACCACCATCAGTAGGCAAGGTGGGTGAAGTGTCTTGCCCAAGGACACAATGACTGAGTCGACTGGATGGGGATCAAACCAGCGACCCTCCGGTTCCAGGACGACTCCCCCTAACCACTGCACCAGTACGTCTCTATACGTCACCAGTAAAACGTTTGATTCTTTTATTTACACCTGACATTCCACAGTTTGTGATGTTTATTCTATAAATGTGTATTTGTGTAACGTGTTCTGTGAGCTGAAACGGCTGAGAAAAGACACGAAGGGAGGCAAATCTTTTTCAGGTTCAAGGAACAGCAGGAGGCGCTCATGAGCTCAGAGGATGCATGAGCTGCAGCAGAGGTTAGCTGCAGAAAAAGAACAAAAGTTACAGTAAGCCAGCCAAGTGCAGTGTTTAAGGTACCTGTTTTATAAAGTTTCAGCTTATAAATGTGGCGGGTGCTGTGTGAAAGTAATTACCAATTTAAACTCAAAAACCCTGTTTTAGAAAAATAAGATTGATTATAATAATTCCACTGTAAAAGCTACCATAAGGCACGCAGACCCGCTTACAGATGAGGCTTTGAGACAATCTCACAATTTTAAGGTTGTTTATTTGGTCCTGATATTAATTCAAAAATACTAGATTAAAACCTCACATTAAAAATCAGTTCTGGCTCGCTCAGGGAGGAGTGCAATTCAAGGTAGTGTCCTAAAGAAAATAAAAACCCAGCAAAAAGAACAAAGTAAATAAAAAAGAAAAATGTGCACCAAACCGAATTAGGAGTACCACCACCCAGAAAGTCCACCACCAACACCACGAGCTGGCCGTTCCTGTAAAAATAAAAGGCAGTTTAAAATTACAAACAATAAAAATATCAGTCAACACTCAAGCAGTAATAGTCCAGATTTAGAAAGTCCGTCCTTGCAGGAACCGATCCGTGGTAACAGACACCACTCCGGGCAGTGGGAGCTGATTACCAATCAGCCCGAAGCAGCCACACTGGACGAGTGATAGGAGCCAGATTTACGCCGACCAGGACGACAGGTAGGTGGCCGACAGATTATCCAGCTGGCAGACGGACGGCCAGTCAGAGCAACCAGAACAGCAGGCAAACAGCCAGCCAAGGACAGACAGTCAGCCCAGGACAAACAGCAGCGGCTATCAAAAATAAATGTTAGAAATAAAATCTAAAAACATGCAAAAATGAGCAGTTCACTCACCACTTGAGCTTCTTTAAGAAGTGCCTCTAGCAGGGAGGAGGAACTGGGAGCGTGTGCAGGCAGCCTGGATATGYAACAAAAGCTAAGCTAAAGCTAAGCTAACAAAATGTCGAGTGTGGGAAGATTCTTACCAGAAGGACGATTGATTGGCGATCAGAGCGTCATTAAGTGCATTGTTCACGCGCACATTACTTTRCAGCTGTTATACAGAAAATGTAAATAAATCACAAGTAACAAGCTTGATTGAGAGAGATGAAGCCTGCCTTACCTAGCATGCGGCACCAATAAACACCACGGTCTGAACCGGAAGGAGAACAACGTGATGTCAACCAGATGAGGGAGGGCCCTTTAAATACAGGCAGTCAGCGCCACGACCAATCAGATGCAGGCACTTGTGTGGTGCGTTCAAAGCCCACAGGGCATACTGCCACATAAAGTTAAAAAAGTAAAACCTGACTTTTAGAATGGAGGATTATATATTTTAAAGCTTAATTTATTTTCTAAAGTACTTGGAAGCAGCAGGTAAATCAGAGCCACACCACAGCTGAGGCTGAAGCTCTTCTGAAACAGTTGGACACTGTGAGGACGTCCTGAGAGACACTTTTTTCAACCTGCCATGTTTCAGTTTATGGCAGCTGTGGACTCAGGTGGGATATTTTCAGCGGTGCATGGACTTAAGTTATAAGTAAAGGTAGAACAAAATGATTTTGTTTTAATGAAATGTGCATCAAATGATCTGCAGTTTGTGTAAAGAACACTGATATGACACATATTCATTAACTTCTGCCAGTCATATGGTAAACACGTCGTTCTTTTCTGCTCAAATATTTGTAAATCTGATCCTGATGAACTGAGTGCCTCACCATCCATGAACCTCACCACACATCACTGGTCACTCTCCTCACTTCCTCTGAAACGTTCAGGTTTCAGGGACTCCAGCATGAGGACATGAACAGACACCAGCTACGTTTACATGGACATAAGTAATTAGATTAAACGGCCGTTCGGAATAAAGACGCATCATGTAAACAGACCGTTCGGATTATTCTGATCCGACTGAGCTCGATCCAAATGAATTTTTAATCCAAAAAAGAGGTGTGGGTTATGCAGATTGATAATCTGAATGAGGTTCATGTAAACACTTAATCTGATCATCGTATTCTGATTGTAGAAAACTGACCTGTTCACATGTCTGCTGACTTTCATTTACCTGGTGGGACAGCAGCGCTCCAGCTGCGCTGCACCGTGCAGAACTTTTCCTCCTCGCTCTCTTAACAGATGAAAAAGGAGACAAACAGCAGATGTTGCTTCGCAAAAAATAAAAATCACGTATTGCTTCATCTGCAGCTCAACCGAGGAGTAACGGCGTCTCTACCGTTATTCAAAGCTGACACAGGTCCATCCTGAGGCACAGAGGAGCTTTGTTTACGTTTGTAACAGGAAGTAGAGCTGAATGTTTACAACACT